GAGTACTGAGGTATGAGATGGATCACTGTTCAGATCCAAGACTGGCAACTGGGATAGGTCTGAAAAGCTTTGCAAAGGCTTTGAAAACTGAACTGACATTGGAACCACAGCCACAAAGGCAGGTCGGGACTTGTGGCTGGAATCCAACTGAGTCAGTTACATGCTAAAACAAAAATGTTAATATTCTCCATATGATTTAAACAAGATCTAGATGCTTATAATACTAAAATGTCTAGAATTTAGTCCAAAATTACTCAGCATACAAAGAACTGGGAAAATCTCCATTTGCATTTAAAAAAGACAATAAACAGATATCAATGAAGAGAGGACAGAAATGTTGAAATTGTTGAAGACTCTAAATGAGGTGTTATAAAATGCTCCAAGAAGTAAGGGTGAACACTGTTGAAGTGAATGGAAAGGTAGAAAATATCAAGAAAGAAACAGAAGATATAAAGAGAAACCAAATGGAACTGTTAGAACTGAGAGTGTACTAACCAAAATAAAAAGCTCATGGATGGACTCATTAGCAGAATAGGAAAAAGAAAACAGATCTATAGAAATTATCTAATCTGAATGAGAAAAAAATATTTTTTAAAAAATGAACAAAGCCTTAAGGACCTGTGAGGCAATATTAAATTCGTATCATTGGAATTCCAGAAGAAGAGAAAAAAGAAGTATTTAAAGAAATAATATATGAACATATCCCAAATTTGACAAAAGACATAAACCTACAGAATCAAGAAGTTCAGCAAACCCCAAACAGGATAAACTTAAAGAAATCCATGCCTACCTACATCGTATTCCAACTGCTAAACAATAAAGACAAAGAAAATAAATCTTGAAACCAGCCAGAGAAAAATGACACATCACTTATAGGAGAATTCAAATTCAGATTCAAATAACTGTGGATTTCTCATCAGAAACCATGGAGACCAGCACATTTTTAAAGTGCTAAAAGAAAAGAACTGGCAACCCAGAATTCTACATCCAGTAAAAATATACTTGAAGATAAAAGATAAATAAATAAAGACATTCTCAGATGAAAGAAAATTAAGAGAATTCATTGCCAGCAGACTTGCCCTAAAAGATTTGCTAAAGAAATTGAATCAATAGTCAAAAAACTTCCCACAAAGAAAAGGTCAGGCTTAAATGGCTTTAATGGTGAATTCCTCCAAATGTTAAAGAAGAATTAACTCCAATCTCTGACAAACTCTTCCCAAATATAGAAAAGGAGGGAACACTTCTCAACTCATTCTATGAGACCAGAATGATTCTCATATGAAAACCAAAGATAGCACAAGAAAAGAAAACTGCAGACCAACATCTCTTATGAATATAGATGCAAAAATACTCAACAAAAGATTAGCAAACCAAATCCAGTCACTCATGAACAAGATTATACATTATGACTAAGCGGGATTTATCCCAGGAATGTGAGTTGGTTCAACATATAAAAATCAATCAGTATAACATACCATATTAAGAAATTAAGAGTCAGCTGGATGCTAAAGTTGGGAGGCCGAGGTGGGAGGATTACTTGAGCTCAGAAGTTTGAGATCAGCCTGAGCAAGAGCCATATCTACTTAAAAGAAAAAAAAAATAGGAAAACTTAGCTGTCTCTACTAAAAATAGAAACAATTAGCTGAGCATGGCAGGCATGTGCCTGTAGTCCCAGCTACTCAGGAGGCTAAGGCAGGAGGATCACTTGAGCCCAGGAGTTTGAGGTTGCTGTGAGCTGAGCTGGCACCATGCACTCTAGCCCTGGTGACAGGGCGAGACTCTGACTAAAAAAAAACAAACAGGCCAGGCGCGGTGGCTCACGCCTGTAATCCTAACACTCTGGGAAGTCAAGGCAGGTGGATCGTTTGAGCTCAGGAGTTCGAGACCAGCCAGAGCAAGAGCAAGACCCTGTCTCTACTAAAAATACAAAGAAAATTAGCTGGACAACTAAAAAATATATAGAAAAAATTATCCAGGCATGGTGGCGCATTCCTGTAGTCCCAGCTACTCGGGAGGCTGAGGCAGAAGGATTGCTTGAGCCCAAGAATTTGAGGTTGCTGTGAGCTAGGCTGATGCCACAGCACTCTAGCCCGGGCAACAGAGTGAGACTCTGTCTCAAGAAATAAACAAACAAACAAAAAAAACAAACAACAAAAAATACTGAGTCAAAAACAATATGAGTTTAACCCAGGTTCTAACCCTGAGCAAACCTTCATCTTAGTAGTTGAAGAGAATGCATTCTACAGATTAGAAACACTCAAACAAAGTAGGAAAAGAAGGGAACTTCCTCAACCTGATTACGTCATTGACAAAAAATCTTCAGCTAATATCACACATCACAGTGAAAAACTGAAAGCTCCCCCCACCCCAGATTTGGAATAAGACCAGGATGTCTTCTCTTGTCACTTCTATTCAATGTTATTAGTTTAAATAAATAAATAAATGAATAATACAAAATAAAAAGCATCCATATTGGAATGGAAAAAGTAAACTATCTCTATTTTCAGAGGTTATGACATCTATATATAAAATCATAAGGAATCTACAAGACACACTATTAGACCCAATGAGCAAGTTCAACAAGGTTGCAGGGTACAAGATCAATATACAAAAATTAATTGTAGTTCTATACACTTGCAATGAACAATGAGAAAATAAATTAAGAAAATAATTTCATGCTGAGATGGAGCTTGGGCTGCAAGATGTTTATTAGGGATTAACACCTGTGAAAGGGAAAGGAAATAGAAAAGGACAGAGGAAGAGGTCGAAGAGGCTTGACAAAGCCTTGATCAAGGTGGCTGGAGCTAGTACTGCCTGAGAGAGGTGTCTCACACTGGGCTTCAATGGCTGGGCTTTCATTCCCTCACCTTGCTCAGTTACCAGATTTAGGCTGCCCCAGGAAGGAAATAACTTCAGGCAAGACTGTTCTTTGATGCAAGACAGACCCTGAAGGAGCTGACCCCTGGAGACTCTTCTGATCACCTTCCATGCTACTGTGCAACAAGTCCTTCCTCGAAAGGGAATCTGGGCGATACATCTCCCTGCCTACCACAAGCAGTGGTGTGCCGCAGAGGGCTCACACCAGCTCACAAGAGCTGATTATCAGCATCTTTACCCAAACCACAGTCAGTGATGACACCCAGGTATGTTGAAATCAGCTATTGTGGGAAAAATGATAACACAGAAATTGGCAAATGCCACAAATCAGGACTTTTATTTTTTTCCCAGAGAGCTGGTTTACCAGCACACCTCTGAATGTGGTCCACAAGTAATTAACGCTGGGTAGGTTATTTATCCTCTCTGCACCTCAGTCTTCTCATGTGTAAAATGGAGCTAATAATACTACCCAAGCTATAAGGTCAGTGTTAGGTCCAGAGCTGAGAAGGAGACACATGAAGCCTCAGGTGTAGCAAAATGCTGTTTATTTGAGCATCTGGGTGCAGACGGGTGGAGGCTGAAAAGAGCGTCCATGCCAGGAAGGGGAGAGTGGTGGGTTTTATAGGAGGTTTGGATGGAAGTTTCGGAAGGATCAATTTTTCTTTTTCTGAACATTAACCGGTTACTGCTGGCATTGCTGCAACTGTCTGTGGTCAGAGGTAGATTTACAATCTCCAGACTCCTGCGGCTATTGTTTCACAGGTCTTATGATCATTATCTAAGCTTTCCATTAACCTCGTTCCATCCTATACATACTTTCCAAGTTCTAACCCCGAGCAAACCTAACAGTCAGCGTGAGAGTTAAATAGTTAATACATGTAAAATGCATAGGACAGTGCCTGCCACGCAGGATTAACTATTATTTTTACTGTTGCTGTTGTTAGTACTATTATTACCACCTTAAAACTTCCACTGGATTTTCATAGAGGTCAGGCAGCTAAATTTCTTAGTATGATATGCAAAGACCCTTCACAATCTGATAGTCTCAACTACAAGGAGCTTTTCATAATTTCTGGAACTCGGACTGTTTTCCACCTCCAAACCTTAGTACACATAGGTACCTTCTGCCAGGAAAGCTGACCCCTCCCGTGTCTGTCATCTTCCAGACAATTCCTTTTCATTCTTTTGGACCAACACACATTGCCTCCTCTATGAAGCCCTCTCCACCATCTCTGGGGGGGCGGGGCTCCCTTCTCAGTGTTGCCACTGCACATTGCACAACCCTGTTACCCTGATGGCACTTTACTGTGGTTATTTGTTTACAATATGTGTCTTTCCTTTTGAGTCCAGGGTTGGAGCTGCTATTTCTCTGTGTAGTCAGCACAGTAACATAGGAGCTAATATTTGTTGAATGAACGAATGAACATTGCCTGGGAAATGCATAAAATGGGAAAAAAGAATAAGTAGCCTAGTAAGATATAATAAAAACACTATTTTTGTTTGCTTAAGTGACTATAGGTATACTGTGTAGAGCAGCGACCTAGGACCCCAGAGTTTTAGGTCCTCTAAGTCCTTGAATTGTCGTGCACTGACGCTAACGTCCCTTGCTCGCCTCACCTCCTGACACAGTCCTGCTTACCCTCCAGACCGCTTAGGTGTCAGGCTCTCTGTGAGGCGCCGTCCTCTCCTCTGCTCTCCAGGGCCTCTTTGCCTGCGCCGCTATTCCCGTACCGCGTCAATTGACTCTCCTGAATTTCCCCTAAGGATTTCCCCTAAGTGTATTCCCACTCCATGTCGTGTGTGTGTGTGTGTGTGTGTGTGTGTGTGTGTGTGTGTGTGTATATTTGGGGGATGGTGTTATACAGCCTTAGACCAGTGAATTCATCGCTCACCCACCCCCTGACTCACCTTCCCCGAGTGTGACTGTCACAGTGGAAACACCTTCCCAGGGCTGTGATTTAGTGGACGGCGGGCGGACACTGAAGTTGCAAGCAGCCCCCACGCATTCTGAGGCGCTGAGGGCAGGAGGGCGGGAGGAGAGCGAGGCGAGGCTGCCGAGCACGGCAGGAGCCGGGGGCGGGGCCGGGGGCGGGGCCGGGGCTAGGGCGGGGCGCGAGGGGCTGTCCTGTGGGATGCGCGCGAGAGCCGGCGATGGGTCCCGCGGCGCGGCTGGCGGCGCTGCTGGCGGTGCTGACGCTCGGGACAGGGGACCTACCAGGGGCCGCAGCGCGGGGGGACACGTTCTCGGCGTTGACCAGCGTGGCGCGCGCCCTGGCGCCCGAGCGCCGGCTGCTGGGGCTGCTGCAGCGCTACCTGCGCGGAGAGGAGGCGCGGCTGCGGGACCTGACCAGGTGAGGACAGGGCCGGTGAGAGCGACAGAGGGGCCTGAGTAGGAGACATTGGGCGAGGGGTGACTCTGAGGCTGGCTGTGACTCCAGGCTCACCGTCATGCTACGTGGGACCTCAGAACCAGTGTCACACCGTGAGACCGAGACAGTGTGACATGGGGTGGGGAGTGACTCTGAGGCCCAGTGTGACCCCCAGACCCATTGTCACCCGTGTGGGACCCTGAGACACCACGACATGTGGTGTTGGGGAACTCCGTGTTACACTGTGTGAGGCCTCAGACTCGGTCACACACATAGGCACCCTAGAACCAGCAACACAGAGCAAAGTTGATACACTGTGGAAAAGAGTGATGGGGTGGCTCTAGGGCCAGTAGGACTTCACAAAATGCTCTGTCAAGTTGTGTGGGCTCCCAGGCTCTGTGTCGCACTGACACAGACACAGAGTGAGAGTGAGATGGGGAGAATTGCTGTAGCTACACGTGTTGACCTTTGAGCAGGCATGGTGAAACACCGTGTGACCCAGCAAAATGATGTTTAGCATGAGGAGTCAGGTGACACTCTGTGACCATGTATGAGATTTACACCTCATTGAGACTGGATGGGCACGACACTACAGATATAATAGTCTGCATGTGAATGATCTGAATAATTGTACGGGTCACTATATGAATAAAGCTTTATGTTCATTAATTCATTCAACACAAGTATTTGAGTACCCACCATGAGCCAGGCAGTGCTCCAGCCAGGCACTGGGGAGAACTTGGTAAACAAGACCCAACTCTGCCCTCAAGGAGTTTGGGTCTGTAGCGTGATGATTGTTAATCAGAGACATCCATTGCCTTCTTTGTTTTCAGCTCTTCTTTCTTTTTACACATATAAAAGCTCTCTAAATATTATACTAAATAAATGATAACCGAGATGTTCTATGCGTGTGAAAGTATTTGAGATCAGAAAAGCACGGTGAAAAGCCGTACTTGATGCTGTAAGATACCGAGCGTAGCACACACAAGCAGATGCTCAGCCAGTATTGTTTTGCTGTACAACCAACAAGCCATAGTGCTACACACTGTGGGATAAAATACTGTAAGGCTTGCGACAGTGGGGCACTGTAATCATGTATGGACTTTGTCAGCATCACACTATGAAAGATGAGTGATTGTATATGATACTGTGTGTATGAACATGTGTTGTGCCTTCTCTGCTTGGGACATTGAGAAGCCCACAACACCAAGAAACAGTGCTTGCGACCACATCACTATTCGAATATATTAATATTGTGCTTATACCACGTGACCCTCTAGCTGAGCTGAGACAACACAATGCACTATTTATAAAACTGCAAGGGAGTGTGTGCAATAGTAATACCGATTCTAAGGTGACATGGGAAGAAGGTGTGTGGGACACTGAGACTGTGAGGGGGAGTCCACGTAGGAGAGAATTAGTTTGTGTGTGGAGGTGTGTATGTGACTTAGTGGTGACTGAGTAAGGTAATGGATGCATGTCTTTAAGTATGCAGCTTGCATTTAAACAGTTATATGCATGTCTAAATTTACTGTTAGTTTGAAACCATGGGACCATATACATATATAATGTAAGTTTATTAATTTTTAACAATAAAATTTAGAATTATTGTCATTCTTGGGACTAGCATAGTTGCCTAGTGTTCTATGGGTCCATGTTGACAGAGCAAAATGTTTTAGTTTTGTTCTTAGTATAGATTCACCGGAATCCAAGTTCATTGGTGGAAATAGAACAGAATGTTTTCTCTTTGATTTCAGAACCCATCGTGCTCTCTGCTACCCATGTGCTTGTTCTCATACCAGTCGTCTCTTTCTGTGGGTGGCTCAGATGGAGATGGGGGGTTCTGAATCACAGTGCCAGTCTTTCAGGAAACAGGCTCAGAAGAGAGTGCTCGAAGTGTTTGGCCAAAGCAGCTGGCCAGGCCTCCTCCCCTCCCCATGCTGGTCTCCTTCACCATCTTTTCACTACTGTCATTGTCACGGCTTTCTCACGGTGGGAGGTCTTATACAAACCTTATCTGATTTGATTTTCTCTCACACATAATGCTTTAAAATAGGTTTGTATTACACTCTTAACAAATGAGACATCATTTAAACATGAGAACACTAAAGTCTGATGGCTTATCCAAGATTATAAATCTAGTAGATAGCAAATCCAGGCCTAGGACACAGTTGTTTTGATTGTTTATCCTACTTTTTTTCCATTATGCTATGATGTCTCTTCTCTGCTGCTTGCTTTATCTGATATACCAGGACACAGACCAAGCCACTAGCTACATGAGGTTTTATTAGCAGCCAGAGTACATGGTGGTTAAGAGCCTGGATTCAGTTTAACAGACCTCTGTTTAAATCCTTAGCTCTGACCTTGGGCAAGTTCCTTTGCTTCTTTAAGCTTTAGTTTCCTAATCTATAAAATGATAATAAAAATATTGATAGTACATACCCCCATAAGTTAGGATTGAGTAGCACATAAAGTATTTATCATTGTGCTTGGCATGCAATAATTGCTTGATAAATGTTAACTCTTTATGATTACTATTTATTTTAACACTGGCTGGTGAAACTCGTCTCCATTTTAGGCCCTAAGTATTAACTAGGATTGTGAGAATCCAGATAAAAAAGAATCAGAAAAATTCCAGATTCTTTTCTCAGGTGACTTATGAACAGTTAATTTTGTAGTTTTGTTTGATATTTTGAAGACTGTCATGCTGTTTTCTAGTTACTGCTCCAAAACCTAGTGAAATGTTTGCTTTTTTTTTTTTGAGACAGAGTCTCGCTCTGTTGCCCTGGCTAGAGTGAGTGCTGTGGCGTCAGCCTAGCTCACAGCAACCTCAGACTCCTGGGCTTAAGCGATCCTTCTGCCTCAGCCTCCCAAGTAGCTGGGACTATAGGCATGCGCCACCATGCCCGGCTAATTTTTTCTATATATATATTTTTAGTTGTCCAGATCATTTCTTTCTATTTTTTGGTAGAGACAGGGTCTCGCTCTCGCTCAGGCTGGTCTCGAACTCCTGACCTTGAGCGATCCACCTGCCTCGGCCTCCCAGAGTGCTAGGATTACAGGCGTGAGCCACCACGCCTGGCCAATGTTTGCTTTTTAAAACAAGAATTTTGGCAGTTTCTGTTCATTTATATATATATTCCCGTTCTGGTGATTTTATGTAACTTGAGATGTTATTTCCAAGGCTCTCAGTTGATATTCTTCTTTGAATTTCTAAATAGGAAAACAAAATATGTTTTGATGTTCAAACTACTCCCTACCCCAAGTTAATAAAATCATACTATTTATAGTATATATAGTTATATACTAGTATGGCACATATATATAGTCAACCCCTAGCTTTTATTGTGGTTGCAGTTTAAACCACCAAGAGTGAATAGCATAGCAGCAATTATTTCTGTGCTAAGAATTAAGCATTTAGAATGTTTCAGAAGAACGGAGACAAAGCCATTTCTAAATTCCAAAGGAGAAACATATTGACTGGAAATAGCCCATGTATTGTGGTTGGATAACCTGCCCAGACTATGTTTAATGCAAGGATTGTGTTGCAAGTTTTATGTGCACATTCTTGAAGGAAAGAATCTGATTTTCCACTCTCAGTAGCTTTTGTTAAAGCAAAAGGTATTTAGGAAACCCTGAGGTTTGAATTCAGCATCCAGTAACTCAGTCTCTGGAAACCAGCTATTTGCTGAGAGGCTGGGCATGGAGCCAACTTTTAGATTCCAAACTAACTTCACTTATCAATTGAAAGATTTTTTTCTCTTTCCTTTGTGTGACAGAAACATGGCATATCTGAACATTAGATTAAACTGATGTGCTACAGTAGAGGTCAGACCCCTGGCCCAAACAAATCAACCCCAGAACGCAAAGTGGGGTGTGGAGAGAACACAGAAATAGACAGTACTTTTGATTTAATGGATGACTTGGGGCAAATATCACCTCTCTGCCTTACCTTTTTCCCTTTGTGCCTCAGTTTCCTCTGATGCCTGTTAAACATTAGCTCTCAAGCTAATGAAGAATCTATTTATTCAGTTGTGGAAAAGGTGATGGGAAGAAGTAATAGAATGTGCGTGCTGAAAGGGTCCATAGAAATCTAGACTAGACCAATTCTTTCATTTTACAGAGGCAGAAACTGAGGGAGAGTTGAAGGCTGGGTCTGAATAAGCCTCAGGTCTCCTCCCAGCTCCATCCTTTCCAACCGTCTTATAAAATCCCTGCTCTCGCACCCTCAATTATTCCTGGACACTTACTCTTTAAGCTGGACTCAAGCCTGAGTCTCTGCTTGTAAGTTTTTTCATCTAGCGGTGGAATATCTTTCACTAAGTAGTTCCATATGGAGCTGACGCAGGAAATAATGGGTAGTAAAAAAGATCCCACACCCTGGAGGCCAGCTTAGTTTCAAATCCCTAGAGTTGCAGCTCACACACTGCCCTGTCTTTGGGATCAGAGACACCCTGGGACTTGACAGGCTTCCCGTTTCCTCCCTGGGGCGCCCCGGCCCAGATTCTTGTTCCTTAGTTTATGTTGAATTGAACATTTGGCTCCTTGGAAGCTGTAAGGCAAGTCATCTTCAATTTCAGGTTCCATTTCAGAATCGAGGGCCCTACTCTTGAGAAATCTTCAGATCAGACTCTGCTCTAAGGGGCTGAAACCCCCACCCTGCCACTCCCTCTGTTTTTCACTTTCATCCCTTTCCACTTGTGGGAGGCCCTCACGCGTACAAGGACTTGTAGTCTCATGTACTCCTGCACACACTCATAGTTTCTTTTCACTTTGCATAAACTCCTTTTTTTTTAAAACTTTTGTTATATTGTTTTTGAAATCAATACTTTTAAAACAAGGGGAAAATACTCATACAGGACAGGACTAGTACTCTTTATTATGGATAAAAAAATTTCAGTAATATAAATTCCGTGAATGTGTTAGAAATGGAATAACCATAGTATACCAGGAAAGGAAACAGCATCTTTTGCCTATATAAACACTCTTGGACATCTGGGGAGGAGAGAAATTAACTAGAAAGATGATCATTTCAGGTCCCACCATTTCTAGCCTCTTTCTGTGATTGTCACCAAGCTGGACAGGTTGGAAGTGTAGTGGACAACCCCACCTCTTTATTCCCCATTACAGTCATCACCACTTTATATATGGTCTACTTCCTAAACACCTCCCTTGATTCCATCCCATTTTCTGCACCCTGTCACTATACGGTTCAGACTCTCCTTGTCTCCTGTTCGCAGTTTTGGAACAACCTCCTCCAGCCTTTCTGTCTCTAGTCATTTCCACTTCTGAATCTTTCTTCCCACCCTTGCACAGATTTATATATGCAAAAGAGTCATAGTGGTGTCACTCTCACCTAAGCCTTCCCTGACCTGCTCTGGCCAAATTAATCACCCCCTCTTTGTTCTGCCCCCTAAGCCTTGTTCTTAAGTGTGGTGTTGTGTCTGTGATGTCATTGCTTGTCTTTCTTACCCACTAGACTGTGGGTCCTTGAAACCAAAGTTATTGCTTTGTTCAAAGTTTGTCCCTAGCTCCTAGGAGAGTATATTTCATTCATTCTTTCGAAGAAATATGTATTGAATTATGTACCTAATTTTGTATTAGGTCCAGAGTGATGAGGAAGAAATAGTTATTTTCTTGTCCAGAAATCCTTGAGCATTGGACCCCGTCTTCCTTTGTATCCCCAGTACCCAGCACGGAGTCTGATATCTGGCAGGTAACTTGTATAGACTGACTTATTGAATGAACAAATATATGTCAAGCCTCTGTGCCTTTGTACATCTTGGCCCCTGTTGGCTCAGAAAACACTCTTCTTCCCATCTTTGTTCTAGATCCATGGGAAACAGCTGAGAACCCAGGCTTCAGGGTCAGGCGGACTTGGGTTGAGTTGTGGTTTTGCCATTTACTAACAATGCAGCCTTGTTTCAGCTTCCTCTGCTGTAAAATGGGCAAAGTAAAGTCTACTCTAAGGGTCGTTGGGGGGGATTAAATGAGACAATATATTAATATTTAAAGCACTCAGCGGGATGCCTCACACATGGTAAGAGCTCAATAATTAGTAGCTATTGATATTTTAATGAATCCTTCCCTTGACTCAGATCAAGTGCTACTTTTTCTGGGAAGTCTTTCCTTCCCTCTTCCAACCCTACCTGGGTTAGGGGCCCTGCCTACAAATGGCATTATATGTCCTCTTCTCTCACAGCACATATCACAATTATCGTAATTAATTCAACAGTGTTTTTGAGTTTCTACCAGATACTAAGTATTGAGTATAGAGTGATGACAGAAGAAAAAAACTATCTTGTTTGTGGACTCTTTGAGAGCTGGACCCTGTCTTTCCTTTGTATCTCTAGCATCTAGTATGGTGCCTGACGTCCTGTAATTGACTGCTATAGGCTGACTCATCCAATGAACAAATGCATGGACCTACTTTTGTTGTATTTGTAGTTTTCATGTTCTTGCATGGCTTTTTGGTTAGACTATTACACGAGTCTAAAGAGGTTCAGCATTTCAATTTTAGCTACTCTGAATGTATACACACCATGCCAGCTTTCCTGAGGTGTGGTGGTTGTGTCAGGAGGTGAGATCATTCTACTCTTCTCTTTCAGATTCTATGACAAGGTACTTTCCTTGCATGAGGATTCAACAACCCCTGTGGCTAACCCTCTGCTTGCGTTTACTCTCATCAAACGCCTGCAGTCTGACTGGAGGAATGTTGTACATAGTCTGGAGGCCAGTGAGAACATCCGAGGTAATGAGGAGGAGGGCTGGAGGGTAGGAGAAAAGATTCTATCTCCTGACTCGGTGGTAAGGAGAGAGATTCTGATGGGATGTGAGGAAGGGCAATGGAGTGGGCAGGTGTTACTCGATCCCCTTAGCTCGAGCTAGTACAAAGAATAAGGTCCCCTTGCTAATAGGTTTATATGGTTATACATTAGGAAGCACTTTCATATCCATCGTCTCATTTGATCTTCACTACAGTCCTAAGAAGAAGTATAGGATGTATCATCCCATTTAATATATGCGTAGAAAGTAATGGCCTCCCAATAGTTTCTGTTTTATTAAGTTGTCACTACAGTGTGATCTGCAGCAAGATCACTTTCCCGATTTATTCTACTTTGTGCTTTAAGAAGTTTGTGGACTTTAGGGAACCCAAAAAGGGCAAGATTCCTGTGGACGTATAGGATAGGACAATAGATGAAGGTGTGTGCCTTGTTTTTTACTCCTGTTCACTCATTGTGAATGTGCCTCACTCAGAAAATTAGAATAAACATTCACTCTGTGCCAGGAACTGTGCCTGCTGCTGGCGACACAAAGACAATTAAAACATCTCGTGAAATATTTGCACAGGTAGTCATGCCTTGCAGGGATTACATGCTCACCACCTGTTTTTGAATGGTGGATTGATGTTTCTACTACTTTACAGCTCTGAAGGATGGTTATGAGAAGGTGGAACAAGACCTTCCAGCTTTTGAGGACCTTGAGGGAGCAGCAAGGGCCCTGATGCGGCTGCAGGACGTGTACATGCTCAATGTGAAGGGTCTGGCCCGAGGTGTCTTTCAGAGAGTCACTGGCTCTGCCGTCACTGACCTGTACAGTCCCAGACGTCTCTTCTCTCTCACAGCAGACGACTGCTTCCAAGTCGGCAAGGTAACAGTATTCAGAGAGAGGGCCAATTGCTTGGCTCTGGTTTCTTGTGGGTGAAATAACTATGTCCTGATTGCTTTTACATATTTCTAATACTTACAGTAAATTTGGAAATTTGATATTATTCCTACTTTCAGAGGAAGAAACCAGAGAGGGTAAATAACTTATCTAAGATTACACAGTTTTAAGTAGCAGAATTACATTTTGAACCCAGTCTTTTAACTCCAAATCTATCCTCGCTTTGGCAACACGTACACTAAAATTGGAACGATACAGAGAAGATTAGCATGGCCCTGCACTTCACGCATGGTGTGGACTTCAGTTGGCAAGCCCAGGCCCTGTTGGCCCCAGAAGAGGTGGCAGCAGCATTTCTGGTTCCTCTCTTTGAGGATGCTTATCTTCTCCCCTTACATCCTGGCCAAGTTACTCTTTCCCCAAAGGATGTGCAACTGGCCTGGCAGATCTGAGACATTCAGGAAGGACTCGGCTGAGCTCCTGAGGCCAGTGTTTCTGGATGATACCAGGGACTGTCTCTGGACTCACACCTAGATCCAACGGAGTCTGCAGTGTTGCCTGGAATTTGCTATCTCTGAGCAGCATGTGCATGTTGCTTTTTAATTTTTTTTTTTTTTAAATAAGGAGAAGACTACATGACTTTCCTCTGTAATGGAAGTAATATATGAAACAATCAACACAGTTCCAAAGGCCTGAAAATTATTTTCAGATAAAGAGACTCCAAGCTTGACTTCAGTTTGTGAGTTACGCATTTGACTATGTAAGGATTTTGAAGATAATCTTATTTGCTGTGTTATGGGAGAAAAGGATATTTACTTATTATTTTAGATCTTTCTGTACTATTTACATCTTTTATCATATGCACATTTGCACTTTTTTTTAAAACATAAGGGAAAAATGAAGAGTAGACTACTTCGATCAGCATGGAAAGGCCCCCGCATGCCTGGCATACAGATCTCTACCCTTCGGGTCAGCCTCATCATTAGTGGCAGCATCAAGTTCCCGAGTGAGCTGTGCTTGTCAACAAACATGTAGCTTTTCAAAAACTTAATTGAGGTTAAATAGAAAATTTTAAAGGTTTGATGCTCTCATTCCTTCTAGTAAATTCCTATCAAAACCATTCAGAAATTCTAACTACATTCTAAATGTAGACTTTAACATTTTATTCTTACTCGTTAAGTCATAGAAGATATATCTCCAGGATTTTAAAGTGTCTTTTCAGTGTTTTTACAGGTATTTTTATAGCTTCTTTGTGGAGTGATAATAAAAATAAAAATAATTATTTAATGAAAAATTAAAACAAAGTTACTTTTACAGCAGAGATTGTACTGTATTTTGTGTATGTTAACATTAAGTTCTTCATTTGTACACTGTTTGCAAACAGCCGCAATTTAAACAAGAGAATTAAAGGATACGGTTTTGCCTCTGGTGGAGTAGAGTATGAGCAGACAAAAACCTTGCCCTTCTGTTGTGACTGAAAGCAATCTAAGAGATCTCCAGAGAGATGGGAAGTACCACCCAAAGATTTGAGGTCTGTGTGTGGTGAAAAAATGATTAGTGAGGGCCGACTACTAATAACGATGTGGCAGTCAGCTGAGTTCAGAGACAGCCTAAAGGGAAGCACCAAGTTCCATTTAATAAATTTTAAGCCTTTGGAAAACTTCTTCCTGTTTGACATGAATTTATATTTATGCAGGCATTTGAATAAAGCTTATCCATCCACAAATTTTTTTAAAAAAATTCCAAATCCCATGCTCCTTCCACAACAGCTAAGATGATCATATATTTAGGATACTCTTGAAAGTGAAAGGGGGTGTTATTAATTATGCCAGGACAACAGACATAACCTGGGCAAAATGGTCCTTTGGTCACCCTAACTGTAGCACCCTGCCAGTAGGTGAACCCCTGGGTGGAAAGGGAAAGAGGGGGTCAAAGTGGGGAATGGGATGTGAAGGTAAGATCATGGAAACTAGACCTCTTGAAACTTTCTAGAACCCCCTGCAACATTTGTTAAGCATTTAGAAATACTAAATTAAAATAGTGTCAAAAACTGAAGCCATTCACTTTACCATTCCTTGAGGAAATAGACTTTAGGAACCTGCCATCTGAGGTTTGTAACTGATCTTTGACCATAGGTTATAATCACACTTAAGGTCATTTTATGCTCTTTGCTAGCCTTTGCCTTAAGAACCAAGAGTGTAAGTCCTCTTTAATTTTGAGGATACATTTGCAGGAAAGTGTATTTTTCCTGGCCCCCTCAGTATTCATTAGCAAATCTGAGAGTGGACCTCATGTGTCCTGATTCCAAGTTTTGGGAATCAGTCTTCCATATTAATGCAGAGTAGGTTGCCCTGAGTCTCTCTGTGTACTCTTATCCCTTTTCTGAGATCCTGAGTGGAATCAGAGCTCAGTCATCATGTTTATGGCTGATTTAAATTTAAGCCGGTTAAAATAATTTGATGTATGGTACTAACATATGCTTCATTAGTGAGGCCTTTCTGAAATTAAAACTGTATGTTGGAAATTTAGTAAGTTACTTCCTAAAAACCTCACTGGTAATCTTTACTTCTGTATTATTTACTTATTTTGAGACATAATATGTCTCAAATTTTATGTACATAAAATAACATAATAATCAGTTATATCTATAATTGAAAGGAAATATTGTTTAAATTTTATTATAATTTGTTTCGGATTTTTTAAAAAACATACTACATACAGCTACAGCCCCACTTCTCCTCCTTGTCCCCGCCCACCACCATACCCTTTCTGCTCCACCCTCATCCAGGTAGCCCCGGTCCGAAACCATATGGTATATACTCTTCTGAGTCTAGCTTCTTTCACTCAGCACATTGTATTGGTGGAATTCATTGTTGCATTTGCTAATAGTCCCTTCCTCTTTATTGCTGAGTATTGTTCCATTATATGAATATGCTATGATCTGTTTATCTAATCTCCTGTTGATGGAGACTTGGATTGTTTCCAGATTGGGCTACTGTGAATAAAGCTGCTGTTAACATTCTTATGGATGTCCTTCTGCAGACACTTATTTTCATTTCTCTTGGATGAATACCTGGGAGTGATATTGCTGAGTCAAAGAATAAGCTTCAGTAATTATTAACATGTGGCCAAATTTGTTTTATCTATACTTCCCCAATCCTTTCCTTTGTGGATTATTTTAAAGCAGATCAGCCTTTCTATTTTCTGAAATTCTTGTCTAATTCTACCACTATACTATTGTATCTGTTGACTCTTGCTCATGATGGATTATTTCCTGATATAGTTTGCATGTTTGATTGGAAGCTTATTTTCAGCAAGACAGTTTTCCCTCTAAGAGAATCTCTGTGCCCAAAGTTGTAGGAATATTCCTCAAGAGGGTTTTGGGTTTTATTCTTCCAGGAACTCTGGTGCTGCCACTGACCTCAGATCCACTTTTGTGTTGATTTATTGGGGGAGTCCTTGACCAAATGAGTATTACAGATTCATACCTAAACTCACAAACTATAGGCTCAAAATTGAGACCATTTTGTGGAGACATTTTATTTCCTACACAGAGGCCGGATAGAAACAAACCAACTTTCTTGTCTCCTTAAGCCAGTGAATAAATTTTTTTCTGGTCCACCCTTTCCCTTAAGGTGCGGTTTTTTTATAGACTCCAGTTTCATAAGGGTGTCTTAGTTCCAATCCTGGGTTTTTGGAGGCCTAGGAAGGCTTATCTTCTGTCCTCATGTGGGCATTATAACCTGCAGTTACTAAGACTAACACTCACCCCCATCCTAGGCAGCTTCAGCATCTGCTTATAAGCTTGTGCTTTGGTTTTTAGCTCCTTTTTTGTTTCTGGTACCTGGTATTTTCCATTTTTTCTTGAAAATATATAATAAAATGTTTTTCCTATTTTATTCAAAATTTCTAAGTATTTGTGTGTGGAAGGATTCCAGTTATCTCAATGTACCATATTGTTGGGACTTGAAGTTACTCAGGGAAATCTTGATTAAATAAATTGTTAACTTGGCAGGAAAAGTGCAGTCATTTTTGATTGTTATTTTTCAACTCAACCTTTTCACAAATAGGTAATTTGAGGCCCAGAAAAATAAAATAGCAGGTTAAGGCAGACCTGAGGTAAAAATTGATTTGTTATTTAGACTGCAGAGTTGCAGTATGTGTAAGTTTTTTCCCTGTCAGGAAGTTACACCAGAATTAGATCATTTTGCAAAGAATTCTTCCAACTCTGACTTTATAATACTGTGTTGTCTCCAGTAATGACTTCCAGGAAATTCCACCTGAGGTCTGGTATTCTGGTTAACTGTAAGCTATTAGGAGACAGGAGCTATGTCTAGTACGTGTTGCCAGCATTCCAACATTTAATGCAGAATGAACCCACTGAGCTTCCATAGTATTCCTGTGTCTGCCTTCATTATGGTGTCTAATGCACTGTGTTACAATTATTAGTTTACTCATGTTCCTCTCACTTGATTTAAATTCTTGAAGGGAGGGCCACCAGGTACATAGTAAATACTAGTAAATATTGAATAAATAATTAATGGAATTGATTATTTACCAATAATAATTATTGAATAAATAATTCATTTTCACACTGTTACCAGCAATATCTTCCTAAAATCATGACATTCAGGATTGTCATTAGCTTAACCCATCCTGCCATTTTTAGTTCACTTTTTGGTTCTCTTTACCTTAGGCTACAGCCACAATGGACGACTTGAACATGTTCTTGCTTTTGGCTTTGGTTTCTGCCATCCCCTCTTCTTAAAATGTTTTTCCTCCCAATCTCTGCTCATTGAAATCCTTTTCCTTCTTCAAGGAAGGCCCATCTCGGATGCCACTTCCTCCGTGAAGCCTTCTGAGATTCTCAAGTCTCCTCCCCTCTCTGTGCCTCCACAGCATGTTATCCGTTTTCCTTTCAGCACTCATCTCATCCTGCCCCATATTATAGTTACTTGAGGTCATGTCTCTCTTCTCCTCCAGACTATAAATTCCTTAAATGCAAGATCCCTTGTGTCTCCTGTCTACCTAGTACAATGCATTGTATGTAATAGATGCTTAATAAATTGAATTGAAATGAATTTGAGGTTAAAGCTTGCCTTCTTAGTTCCCAAAGGCCTTCTTACTCTTTGAATTGTCATTTCTTTTTTTCTACCTGTGGGCTAAAGCTTTAGTGATGGCACTTGTGTCCTCTGCAGGTGGCCTATGACATGGGGGATTACTACCATGCCATTCCATGGCTGGAGGAGGCTGTCAGTCTCTTTCGAGGATCTTACGGAGAGTGGAAGACGGAGGATGAGGCAAGTCTAGAAGATGCTTTGGATCACTTGGCCTTTGCCTATTTCCAGGTAAGACAGTAGGTGAAGCTCACTGCTTTTATTACAATAAATATAATGTTTTATATCTGCTTTCTAGTTTTCTAAGCATTTTTGTATCTCTTAATTTGTTTCATCGTTCTAATAGGACCAAACATGAGTTAAGCAAGGCAGTTATTTTATTATTTCCATATATCACATGTGAGTAAACTGAGTCTCCAAAAAATCCTTAACTTGTCACAAAGTTCACAGACCTCGGATTAGAACCTAAGTCTGTCTGACTTTAGTCCAGTGCTCTTCCCAATGCATTGACAACTTTACAATCATTATTTCTCATGTAGGAGGAAGTTTCTCACCTGTAACAGCAGTTGTATTCACAGACATTTAATTGGTTCATGGTGAATGTAGATCACATTTTTGCATTCTCACTAACTCATAACTCTTCACAGATATTACGCCATGATGTTGCCATGGAAGAAGACGTTTGATTGTTATCCTTTCCTATCTGCAACTGAGTCCAGCTGTAACATGACTGTGTCTGGCTACAGAGCTGCAGTCACTGTTCCATAGCACCAGCCTCAGTTCCCCCTCCAGGTGCTAGTTTTCCTTGGCACTGTTGAACTACTTACTACCTGTTGTGCGCACATAGAAGTTCATTTCGCTGACTGTGGCAGCTGCCATCCTTTTGTATAGCCAACCCCAATTCCCACCAGACTTGTACAATCTTCAAGAATAGGCCGGAAAAATCACAATCTTGCCTGTTTCCTGGAGTTTCCAAAGCTAATAAACCATTCCTGCTCCCCACATTCCTTTTTCTGTCCCCCTTTCCCTGAGAAAAGGGAGCACGTGGGTGGTCCCAACCCTGTGTGTTGCTGCCAAAACAGATTTATTCTCCATGCACCAAACAGTCCTGTTCCTTTCATGGACATTCCTGGTAAATGGATCTTTGTTATTATAAAACTGTCTATGTGTTCTTCCTAAGTCTCCTGCTCAATTGCTAAGTGTTAAAGCTAAAATAGAATAACAGGTGTAACAAAAGGTGAGAAGTAATTGAGTTTTAATAGAGGAAGGAAATGAAGGATTGATATGGAGAAACTCAGAGAAGCAGCTTACCCTGAAAGATGGGGTTTTAAATACAGTGCCCCTCACTCTGATGACTTGAGTGTCCCCTCCACTCGCTGGGAGACTCTGCCTTTCCACATCATGCTTCCTCTGGTGAAATTCTGTTTATCTCACAAGGCACAGCTCAGATGTCACCTACTCTGTGAATTCTTCCTTAATTTTCCTCACTTCTCTTTTGTGTTCTTATAGCACTTTTTTATGCCTCAGTAATAAAACACATAAGGCAGATATTATGACATGATATTGCCATGGAAGAAATTTGATTGTTATCTATAAGGCATTGTCTTACAGATGATTTATTAATATGTTTCCCCTGGCCCCCCAGTAAATTAGAGGTAAATGCCCCACCATGGACTTTTCATTATCATGTAAAATTTAACATAGGCATTTTTTTCCTTATATATTTTAGTAAAAAAAATTTTAGTAACTGCTAATAATAAGAAACAGTAGAGTGTAGTGGTTAAACCATGGGCTCTAGAGTCAAACAGACCAGGGTTCAAATTCTCTGAAAATGTGGGCAACTTACTTAACTTCCCTGGGCCTCAATTTTCTTATCTGTGAAAGGGGAATCATAATGATGCTTACCTCAAGATTAAATGAGCTGATACATGCACAGCCTTTAACAGGAAGCATATATAACACATACTACATACTCAATACATATAAGCTATTTTTTTTTTTTTTTTGAGACAGAGTCTCACTGTGTTGCCCAGGCTAGAGTGCCGTGGCACCATCCTAGCTCACGGCAACCTCAAACTCCTGGGCTCAAGCGATCCTCCTGCCTCAGCCTCCCGAGTAGCTGGGACTACAGGCATGCGCCACCATG